AATGGTAATGTGCTTACATTTCTAGCCAAACACCATGGCCTTGCGGTCAGGCTTTTTAACCATAGGCGTTGACTGTGGACTATAATCGTCCTCCCGTTTGTGTGGGCGCCCCGGCAGTATCCCAGCCCACGTACGAATTGTACGGATGTGAAGCATCAGTGTTGAACACTGATGTAATGCTATCCGTGATGATGATGACTGTGATGATGAACAACGTATGACTTTTGGGCGTTTTTGGTGTTGTACGACTTCCGGGATGGGGCCTCTGTGACTTACCTGTGCTTGGCTGTGACATTACAAGAAATGGCGGCTGGTCGATGTCAGTGGCGTCCGTGTTGTCATTTTCTTTTAAGATTGTCTGATTGAGAGCTTAGAGGTGTAGGAACCTCAAAATGCTTGACATGGGCCAGCACTAGGTACCCTCCCTTACCCACTTTTATCTCTTCTTCCAGCTCCAAGGCTTTAAATATAACTTGATGGGCTTTGTGATTGTATGTAGTGAAGCGTCAGTGTCAATACTGATGCTGATGTCTCTGGTGGTGGTGGTGATGATGATTTCGGAGGAAATAACACCCACGATAGATGTGCTGATCACACTGTAGGTTGCACTGGCTTGGACGTATGCATCGTCTGTCAGTTGGTCGAATTCCTCCTCGTTATCGGCTGCAAAATCCGCGTACATGTTGTACAGTGGTTATAGCTTCCACAGTTTCGTTTGCAGTTGATCTGGGAAGGTAGGGCTGGTTAGCTACGTATTGGAGGTAGGTCATATAATTGGTGCCTGATTATAGGGGTGATGGTGGAGTTTTTATTGAAAAGATCGAAAGGGAAGGTATTTACTGAATGCAAGAGTCTGAATGCGTGCGCACGGTTGGGCTCTGTCGATCTCTCCAATTAGTGATGCGTCCTGCATCGGGGTCCCCATTCAGCGCAGCAGAGCCTGTTGTTAATGGCCTTCATGCGCTGTCAAGTCATTGCCTGACCCCCTGGCCCGTTTCTACTATTCATCTGGTTGTGCGAAAAGGGTTCTCCGAGGCAGTCTTTCTCAACTGGCATAATGTGCACGTGAACTGGCCAAACATCCTGGGTCGTTTGATAGGTCTATCCATCATAGGCGGGTTATTTCTCCTGAACACCTTTAGGCCAACGTCAGCATTATTGATCCGATGTTCCCACCAGACTCTGATAATGATCTGAAGACACCAGTGGTCAAACGTTAAGAGGTTTGCAACTTCAGCTCACACTGGCCAGGTTTTTTGACCCATATAACAATATGGAGCGAATCGTAGCATTGTTAACTTGCTCTTTGACACAAATGGGGTAGGTTGAAGGAGCTGCTCTGGTTTTTCCCACCCGGATGGAAATATTGTCTTTGTCTAGACCACCGGAACTGACACTAATACTACAGTGAAGTATGGAAGCTATTACTAGCAAACTCAGCTGCGCTGGTCATTGCCGTCTCTTTGGATGAGGATCTCGAGACGAGAGACATCAACAGTTAGAGGCATTGACTGATAATTTCTAGGGGCATTCTCAATGTCTCGCCTGGTTCCAAACTATTGCCGTCAATACATAAATTATTTTCTATATCTCCCTAATGAAGCGTCCACTATCACTGCTGGTTCACGCGTCAATTATGCCCAATTTGCACCAGCTTTTCTGATGTTCGCTGATCATAGGCGAACGAAGCTGTGATAACTATGACAACGGTAAAGTATGTATGCGGTTTGATGCTGATGCAGGTAGTGAGCCGATCATCTCTCATCTCGCGCTGTGCCTTAAAAATGGGAGCATACGAAGCCATGTTTACTCCATCATAGACGGCTCGCCCGTTAATCCGAACCTTCACCTGAGACCATTCATTGGATGAGTAATCCGGCGTCCTCTAGGATATCATCAATGGCGGGACGGTAACGGTGATACCGGGTAGTTTTATGGTTTGCTGTGTTATTTTTCTCATAGAGTCGCACTGGTGTTGTCAGAAATTCCTTATATCTAGAACAATTTTTCGGCACTGTTGGTTTCATAGATGAAGTGTTTAGGCCCTTCGAGCAGCAATCGTGAAAATTCACTAGCTGCGACACCCGGAGGATATCAGTTTATCGTTGGTGTGACTTGAGAAACATTCTCTCAAGATGGCTCAGTGGTTAGAGCGCGAATTTACTTCCCGGAAGGTCTGTGGTTCGAACCTGACCTCTGCCAGTCGACTTCCCTTGGGCTTGGTCAACCTGGCACTATCCAAGCCCTCATTGTTCCTTCGGGTGGCATGGCAGTTGGGCACCGGAAAGGTGTCGCAGTTAAACGATCACCTTTCTACCGTTCACCAAAACATGCAGTATCTGGGCTCATCATCATCACCAGCAACAGCAACGTCAATGTTGACACTGATGCTTCACTATCGTCAAAGTAATTAGAGAGTGAACCTTCTTCATCACTAAATCCTACGAATCATCTCCAAATTTTGGTGAACACTTGTGACCGATGTACAGGTTATTCGTTACAGGATGAACTTTGTCCCTTTTAGGCGCATTACCCATACCACACTAGTTGTGGTGCCTAGAAGATATCTTCAGAAGCCATGGGAATCAGCTGTCAATGTTGAACTGATGCTTCACTATCGTCAAAGTAATTAGAGAGTGAACCTTCTTCATCACTAAATCCTACGAATCATCTCCAAATTTTGGTGAACACTTGTGACCGATGTACAGGTTATTCGTTACAGGATGAACTTTGTCCCTTTTAGGCGCATTACCCATACCACACTAGTTGTGGTGCCTAGAAGATATCTTCAGAAGCCATGGGAATCAGCTGCCTCAGCGAGTTTGTTTGCAGTGCAGATCAGTGTCAACAGCTGACGCGGAGGAAGCTTATGACTGATGACCTAGCCCCAGTTGGGCCATCACGGTACCAAGGAAATGAAGCACAAAATAAAGAATTGTCGAACTGTAACGCCCTTTCGGTGCACAGCTACCATGCCACTCGAAAGGAGCACGAGGTCCAAGGTACTGCCAGGTTGCCTATGCCTAGACAAGTGAATTCGAGATGCATATGTTAGGCTCGAACCACGGACCTTCCGGTCTGCGCTCTGAGCTCTGTCAAGCTCTAGGACAACGGAGGCGGTAGACTGGTCATGGGCATGACGATCTAGCGATTGGTATAAAATGGATAAATGGCCCATGCAGTTTTGTTTGGGCGGTTAGCCCACCTGCTCGTTTAGGATGCTCGTCAAATGCCGAAAAGTAATGCAACCAAGGTGTATATGGCTGACCACAATTTTTCCTTTTCCGGTTTCTGTATTCAGAACATGCTTCTATTCTGACTAAGGGTAGTGGAATTTTGATCACTTTGGAACCGTTCTTTGCCCTTGATCCGTTGAAAAATCAAGTACAGTTTTCTGTACAAACAGGACATCTGTCCTTTTTCTTGTGACATGGACTGGCCAAAATTTGCAGTTTAGGGTAATGGTTGGGCCTGAGTCATACAATCGTTTTACCGGTTGTTTTAGCTGGAACTCCGTTCTTCTAGGTTCGGCCGTGCTTGCAAGGCAAACAGAGAGCAGCCAGGCGAAGATCAGTGAATCATCGAGTTACAGTTAGCCGTATTACGAGGCTGTTTGATTTAGAGTCATACTGTCCTTTGTGATATGAGGGATAGCAGTAAGATGTCTCCCGCGTGTGACCAGCATGTAAAGATTCGTAGAAGTAGTGACGCTCCATCCTGACCTGAGCTTCTTGTGAATTAATACGGTCAAAAGACGGTTAAGTCTCAACAGAAGTCCAGGGCAGCTCGAAACGCATCTTCTGTGCACAGTAGCATCACGAATCAGATTTCTATCACGCACACTGTGTCTTTCGGCCAGACGCCCTCCCACAGCCAAGTGAGACCAACTGCTGAATTATCGGCGTTGGATAGAGTTCTCCGGCAGATCCTACTCTCCATGATCTTATGACTCAATCTTTAAGTCAAAGATTCAAGGTGAGGTACTTCAAGGAAGCCCTCTTTTCGGGTCAGGCAAAAAAGAAGTGTCTTATCTACTGAGTACTAGTGAAACCGACAGTCTCGCTTTATCGTCGTCTATTTCAATTACTGTACCCCTCATCACTCTGGCAACTCTCGCTTGAGACCCTTGTCCCTCAGCTGAAAAAAAAGACGAAAGTGCCCTTTTTTGTTTGATAATGTGACGTTAACTGAATGTGACGTTATACATAACAAATTAGGCACCACTAAACATTCTCGGTCGCGATGGGATACCCTGGAAGTTCTTAAGCATACGTGCGGTTAGGATGTGCGGTAAGTTGTTTAAAAGATTCTTCACAACTAGTGAAGGGCTTCCTCATCCTTTATTGTCACCGACTTTGTCATCCAGCTGTCGCTCCAAGGGGCCATGAATATAGGCATCACAGCCACTTTACTTGGATTATGCAGACATCGTTTCCTGTTTGGCGTTTATTTATCTGCGCAAAGTACTTCAAACAGAATATGGGAGGTGGTCTCGTGTTTCGGTATACGTTTTGTATCTTCACAGTACGGGGTCCTACTTTGGGATTTCCCATCTTATTGTGCTTCCCTGGAAATTCAGAATGAAGAACCTGAGTTTGTTGGTCGGTTCACATATATTCGAATCTGGATAAGCCCTGATTACACTACGGCTGATGAATTCAATGCGTGAATGACGAAGGTGAGACGGCTTTCGCCAACTTGCCCCATTACTGGTCCCAGTCGAATTTCGGTGAGGTTAAATATTTGTATACAATACGATGTATACAAGGGCAATCCAACTTTATGGTCGTTAGATCTGAAAATCTTGGGCGTCTTCAAACTATTGATAGCCGATATCCCTCCATTGTGGCAAGAGTCAGCTAGATGCAGTGATTACATGACCAAGTAGTGCGTAAGCGGGCTGAGCAACATATTAAGCTCACCGCGTTAAAATAATTGAGGCGTGTATTACTCATGCCAAACGACCATCTTCCTAAGAATACGTTGTTTTCTGTTCCAGGAACAGGCCATGATATGACAACGTGAAATGAAAGCGACTACGATCAAATAGAGTGCTGTGAGATTTTCTTGCCTTCCCGACTGGGTTCTACGTGTTTGGAAACCCTGTGGGACTTGGCACGCTTTCGATCCTTCTTTCTACCCCCTACTACGGCTTTCTTCCCTCATGTTGAATGACAGCTAAGCGCCAGTATGTATTACTGGTGTATCTGATCTGTCGCTTCCTCTTGCAGTGCTATCGACAAAGTGAGTGGTAGATTGAACAAAACTCCTCCGAATTTCCACTATTTTAGTCACTTGTGGTGTCATTGTGAAAGCGTAGGTGTAAACGTCGTGGTACCGTTGTATGCGTGCGAGACGGTCACTTTGCGTGGAATATTTAAGATGATTACTTTCCTTTGATCCTCGTTATCTGTGGCTTGTTGCTTCTATGCAATGGAAACGCCAGATTTCCAACTCTGGACTACTTATAAGGTATGTGGTATGTCATCTAGTGGACACCGGATTAAAGATTCGATACAAAGACGTTTCATGCAGTTACTGTGGTTCGGTCATGTGTTATGCCGTTTGGCCAGACCAGTCTTGTTTACGCCATCAGGATAGATGTAGAATGAAGCAACAAAAGGTGTTAAAAGTCTTAGTCACGTTGTTGTATTCAGTCTGTAGTCAGTCAGTAGATAATTAGGCGACCCACCCAACTGATACTGAGTGGCTGAAGCTAATGTTCGTATATATGTACAAAAACAATCAAGTACCCAACTCCACTGGCCACCATCACGATCTGTGTTTAGAGTTATTTTGATGTTATAATGCGCTTCCTAATTGGACTGTAGAGTTTGTTGAATTTTCTAGGCTCTGTAAGCATACTCATGCGAAAGGGGCACTCTGGGAGCAGAGCTATGTACCACGGGTTCATACTGTGGCAGCTGCTCGAACAGTGCCCTTTGTTTTACTTGACATGGCCGTAACAGCTTCTCCGTATCTTATGACCACTTTTGTCTCCTTCGGTAACCGGATGGTAGGACATTCCTAAAGCGTGCTCATTTCGCTAAAATAGCGTTTTGTTCCTTTGTAATGTGCTACTCATAAGGTTGCTGAAAATCCATCGACAGCCCACGACCGGTTTCACCCTTCTTGGGGCTTATCAGGTAGGCGCAGTCCCCGGGTTTCCGTCAACCTTATGTTCTACTTGAAGCCAAATTGCACGAAATTAGCGAATGTGCACTGATTTGCAAACTAATTTGGTTCTTTCGAGAGACTCACCTGGAACCCAGCTGAATCTCTCGTTTATGATGTTCTCAGGCAACTGAATGTGCTGCACCAGGCTGCCTCATGTTTCAGTCGCCACGATATTTGAAATATCGCGATACATGTATATCTTTGTAATGTATTGTTCCCTTCAAAGTTAACTCCATCATGTTGCCATAGTCCATGCTGTCTTTGGGTATGTCGTTCAGGTGTGTTGGGTCATTTAACACCAGACAAGCTGTTTACTAACTATAGCCATAATCCATATGGACTTTTCACTTCTTTCTAAGTTATGCTCTGTATTTTTGAGCTAATTATTCAAATAAAAACGTCGGATATCCCGAGAATAAACACCTCTTACCGGTTCTTGGTTACTATTTTGACGTCCTTCGTTATGGCAAACTTGAGCCGCTCTATTCTCTTAAATTTATGAACGTAATATGCATTCTGTCATTTCTTTTCCAATTTAGTCTGTGTGACAATCACACCTGGATTTGTTTCTTATCTGTTTTTCGCTTTGGATTGTCATGGATTTCAATTCCTTTCACGCGTGAGTTTCTTTCCTCATCTGGTCTGATTTCTCACAGGCCTGAACAACAGAAGGAGATAATAATATCCGGCTTTCTAATCAAATCACCTCCTTCTGTTGAAGAAAATAGACCTTTCAGTTCCCTCTGGGATGTGAGTTCCTATAATATCGTGACTAATTTTCTCTCCTGTCGCCATAGTTGGGTTGTGGAGGACTCGGCTCGCCACTGATCAAGAAGGTGGGTGATCGCGCGATGTCTCTTTCCGTGACGTTAGCTACTTGTTTGACCTGTAGTTCTTTAGGAAACGAATGCACTGAATGTTTTTTCTGCACGTTTCTATCGTTCGCTCATATCTGGCGAATTTCAGTTTTAGTAGACTGCGATTTTGCCCTCCTCAACTTTTCCTAGTAGTCGAATCTGATCAGAATTCTCTAATTCCGAGAAGTTTGTTGATGTATTTCCCATGCATTGCAATATGCAAAAACATGTTGGTGTAGTTGTTACTGGCTAGAATTGGCTATGACCTGCTTGGCTTTTGAATACGCAAGCAATTACTACTGGTTATGGGCAATATCCGATGTATCATTTTATGCTTTTTATCCCAATCCAAGCGAGTGTTTTGTCTTGCTTGTACTGTACGGGAACACCTCAGCGTTCCAGCTACCATGAGCAAACTTTTTTCACGGGTTTCTACAGCTAAACATATACTAGCGAAAACGGCAATTCAGGTCAATCCCTATGCGCTCTGGTAAGCATATTTATATGCTCCGTTTTGTTGAGAAAGAAATGGAGTACATGGTTATGCAAGGTTCATATGTCCCGAAGAAATAAGCGAGCTGACATTCATGAATGCATGCAGTTTGTATTGCAGATAAGTCGGCCCACTTAGTCTGTTCCAGTCAACTCATATCGTTACGTAGGATGATTTCAGAGATAAATGTAGTCGTATGACAGAGTTTTGGGGGTGTCTGTCCACCTGTTGCCGTTGGATGAATTTCCAACTAGCACTATGGGTGGACTCTCAGCCAATTCACCCACTTAAGACCGGATTTTTGCGAGCTACTGAGCGTTAGAATTCGACTTCAGACCATCATTTTCTCTATTGTTTGTACTGTACATTGATTAGTCTTATTTTGTAAACGTTTTCAGCGTTGGCGCCAGCGATTTTGTGTCCTTTACAAAGTTCGTTCTCGAGATACAACGGGGATTTTTTTCGAGTACTACAAAGATAAACAGTGCCACAAGTTGAAAGGTATGTCTGTTTGTCTTTGTGTTGCTGTTCTGCAATGTTTATTGCGTAGACTTCCTTATGTGTTCACAACCGTCCCACTGACCAAAGTTTCAGGTCTGTTTTATATTCAGTTTTGTCGAATAGTCCAAGTTAGATGACGCCGCACATTACTGAAATAGAATACTTGTGGACAGGTATCCGTTTTCTGGCATAGATTACCCTCTGAATGGGAATTTCCCCATAGAAATGAGAACCCATGCAAATGCCTGATCTATCTTTCACTGATGATGGAGGACTTCATGGCAGATACTGAAATCACAACTGTCCATATTGTAGCTCATGTACAGTCAGGACAGGATGTTTACTCAATAATGTTTGATGGTCGTAGTTCATATGTTGGAAGTCTCATCTGCTCCCTGTGTAGCCTCGTTCTTCATTGTGTTCATAGCTGTGAGCACACTTTAAAACTGAGGTCAATAACTCCTTTTGTCGGAGTCTTCGTCCACGTCCAGCGTCTTGTTGGTAGAGGAGTCATCTGACAATCCAACTATTTGACTCTCTCCATCTCACTCATATCGGCTCAACCCCGGGCAGAGTCCGTCAAATGTTTGATTTTCGAAAAAAAAACAGTACGCCTTACCTAAGGATCAAAATTAATCGCCGGATGTCTCATTCATTTTGTGCATAGCAGCTAGACAACCGAGTATAGACATAAGGAATGCTAATTTGGCCAAGTTTAGACACTTCGTATTCAACTGTGTCACTTGCTCTAACACAATCCTGCAAGAAGAATTTGCCAAAATACCCTATCGATTCCTGTTAATGACGTCCGACCCAGGTTAACTATTCATGACACCTGTGGCGTGATAGTAAGAGGCCGACAAATGTGCAGGTTGATCTGTACAACTTAACACATGGTGTATCAAGGGTTCATACAAACAGAAAGTTCTGGGAAAATGTTGTCCTGTCAACAATAACCTAAAGATCTATAAATTCGGATGGGATCGGAACAAATAGAACATCGATTTCAGCTAGCTCATCATGTTTCAAATCTGGGGGGACAAGCAGTGCAGGTTAATATGAACAGAAGATTCCACTCTAGTCCTAAAATTCAATCGAACTTCCATGGAACCAACAGTTTGCAGTTTCTTCTGCTAAACGGTTTCCCTGGAAGAGATAATCGAACCATCTTTTTGGGCATTTCTTAATAGGATTTTGATTTCACTACTCACTACTCACACCATTCCCACACATGCTTCGACACTTGACATCGGCTAGTCCGGTAACTTTTTGACATGTATGCTCCTGCCATCTTGTTTTTAGGCCATGTGGACTTAAAGAACTGTGAGTGCATTGCAGATGACTATCAGATTGGGAAATGGCTCAACGTCTTCTCAATACACACGAAGCACAAAGGAAAATCTCGAATCTACTACTTCTCAGCCCCCGACCCACAGAGCATGTCCGATTGGGTACGGCATCTTGTCGAGGTCAAGGGTTTTGTGGACAATTCTCAACCCGGTATGTGTTTGTGGAGGAACTTAGTGAAGGCTCGTTATAACGGCCGTTGATTTATTCTGTGAGATGGGTAGTTTGGTGGTAGCTAAATTGTCTAATCTACGGCCATCATTACATTGTGAACTATCAATTTTATTTTCGATTGCAAACTTGTTATATCTGTGGCGTTCATTGACAATGAGACCAAATGTGAAGTTGCTGTCCATTGGTGTGATTTTCTGGAGCTTTCAGGGACAAAATTTCCTCACAGGTAGTGGAAGTGGGAGGCAGGTTGAAACAGCGCAAAACTGTGGATACCAGACATGCACGAACAACGTACGGATTTCATTTATGGCTTGCCGATTGCGAAAGCGTGATTCACGATGGGTGATACTGCTGTGCCTTACCGATGCTGATGCTTCACTGCCGTCCGTTTGCAGTTGTTGTATAAACTTGTATACTTTTCATTCTTCATGATACACTAGCACAGTATTAGTATACACCCTAAATGTTACTTTTTATTTGGGTTCGATATCCACACTGACGAGGTGAGTTGAATAGGTTTTCTTCAGACTCAGAGGATTGTCTGTCCATTGTCTCACCGCGGTTGGTTTTCCCTGTCTGATGCGAGGTAATCGATGCGAAATCAACACATTCTCTCGTCGGCTAAAATCAGGCAGAGACCATGTACCTGTGGATTGGATTGTCTGTCCATTGTCTCACCGCGAGTGGTTTTCTCTGCCTGATGCGAGGCAATCGATGGGAAATCAACACACTCCCTCGTCGGCTGAAATCAGGCAGAGACCATGTACCTGTGGATTGCGATTTACTGGCATCATCAGTAATACGTAAGCAATGAAAAGGTACTACAGAAAGGGAGCCGGTCAACTGGGCGACCGCTGCTGTATGGCGCAGAGCCCTTGAATGTTTATGCGTGAGGACTGCGTAATAAATACATGCCGATACTTCTCATGTCTGATGCAGCAGTGGACTACACAGTTCGATCCGTACACCGACCGTCTTTCCTGTTTGGTCGGCTTAAAGTTGGGTGCAGTGGTGCACTAGTTATCAGGTAGAATGGATAACCAATATTCCAGCGTTTTGACTAACCAGGAAACCATTTACGTCACATGTAGCTCCACCCGATTCGTCATCTTATTGTTGGCGAGCACATCATACTCTCAATTGAAATCAATCTCACAATACGGAAAGCTTATTCAGACTTCTTAGCGTCAATATATTCTTACCCATCTATCTCTTTTTCATTGTAATAGCTTTTTGCAGGATATCTTCCCAAATTTCTCGTGATAGCCTGCCAGGAATCCTACAGCCTTTCGATAGGAAACTTTAGATGATCCGGTCCCGAATCAATTGGTATATGTTTGGGACCGATTGGGACCTCATCGTTTCATAGAGGTCTGGTAAAGAACCGGAAGGTTTATTGCTGGACAGCTTTTCGCCTTTGACACAAAGGCTTCGTCAGGTCAAGTGAGTAAGTAAGCTATTGATCGGTTTTTAAAGCATTCAGGGAGACGATTCGTGAGGTTCCTTGTGACTGGCCGTTTTGATCATTGCTGAAATCGGTCTGAAGTTCCTGTTTGTTGGTTAGTGGGGATGGCTAACACTTACGATAAATTGGGTAGGGGGATCGTCTTCATGTTGAAACCGTATTCTGCGGCCTTGCTGTTCGGTCTAGAATATCCTAATGAAATATTCCTCTTGGAAGTCGTCCACAGATTTTGTTCGCCTGTTTTCGTCGTCCGCTTTAGGGACATTGGGATACGTCGAGCCGACATTAAAGCTAACAAGAACTGTATCAAGTTCTAACTTAAACCCAGCTACTTTTTAGCAAAGTCATACGATTTTTGGATGTGTGTGGGTGACTTGCCAGCAAGTGGTTTAAGGATATCTGCCAGAAATCTGGCCAGCCCATGTGGTGGTGAACCTATGCCATCCACTATTGGACATTTGGGGACACCCTCCTTGTGGCTTTTTGGTAACCCATAAAGTCGTGGTTGGATTGCACTTTCTGGGTACGATCGATACCACTTACCTTGCCCCAGATGGTTTATCACGGATCTTAGATACCTTCCAACTTCACCCTTATTCTTATTCATTATTGACACAATCGTTCCATCACTAATTTGTCGGTGGGGCCCATCAGCTACGTGTTGTCGAACTTTCTGCAGTTAGTAACTTTTATTCGTGACGAACGCGGCTTTACCTTTATCTGCCTTTGTAATTACTATACTGTCTACATGTTTTTATGTGTCTGAGGCTGTTCGCTCGGCTGGTTGCTGGGATTTCAGGACTGTGACCAACTGTAGACGTAATTTCTCCGCTTCCATTGAAGGAAGCTTCTGGAACACAAACCAAACACTAGGGATGATCTCTTCCGCCCTTATGACTCTTTCACTTACTGCGAGACAATGTTTTTCGTCACTTAACGGTCTACCTGATAAATTGACTACGCTGCAATAGCTGGCAGATGGCTTACCCTTTTCTATTGTGTTAGTAAAACAGCAAGTCATGGAAAGCAATCCCTATTTGTTTGTCCTTGCACTGTTTACCTTGAACTGACTCTAGTTCCTTCGCTTTGGTATCAAGTAGTTCGAATTCTGCAGGCGGTAGTGCCGACTGAAGATCATGGTGGAGACGACATGCGCGGTCACGGATATCAGTTAAAATTTGAGTACTTAAAGTGATCCTGTACTTGAGGAATGACTTGGGGCAGTTGAAGGATCGCCTTCCAGTTGGTAGGACTAGGAACTGTGTATACAAAGTAAAACGTAACGACTGTACGAAGGTTTACATAGGTCAGACAGCCAGGGAATAACAAACCAGAATCGGTGAGCATAAGCGATGCATTAACAGGCCACCGAGAAACGCGGATGAATGTCAGGCGATAGTCAAAGCTTCGGCAATGGTATGGCATGCACTAGACACTGGGCACAGGATAGATTTGGAAAGTGTGGACATTCTAAGACGGGGACTGAGAATTACACCACAGCAGCTGGTGGCCGAGTCGGTGGAAATCGCGAAGCATCCCAAGGTGAATGGAATGGAGGGCGTAGAACTGACAAGCGCGTGGAAAGCGGTTTTAGATCAACCGAGACGACACGAGGCGGGGTGTAGCTATCAGCAAAATGGTCTGGGTCTAAAAGTACAAAATCCAAGCAGAGTAAGATCCAATTAGATACCCAACCTCAAACTAATCGTCTCGACACCCCCTGATGAACAAAATCTGTGATAACTCCCAAGGGGATTATTCCATTAAGGTGTCCTAGACCGAAAAATCAAGGCCGCGAAATCCGGTCTCAACATGAAGACGACCCTCCTAACCGATTCATCGTAGAGGTTAGTAATCCTTTTTAACTAAAAAAACAGGAACTTAGCATTGATCATATCGGCTAGTTATGCAAAATCTCACGAATTGGCCGCCTAACTGCCTGCTTACTTACTCACTTGGCCTGACGAAGCTTTTGTGTCAAAAGCGAAATGCTGCCCAGCAATAAATACACCGATAGTTTACCAAACCTCTGCGAATAAATGATCTGGTCCTCCCCTACCATGTCTACTGATGAGATTGATGTAACCGAAGTAGACAGTTTAATCAGGCAGCATCCAAATGGATCGGCGTGCAAAATCAGCTGGCTCATAGTCCGCATGTGAGCTCTTCAGATAAACTCGTTTTATATCAGCCCAGTGTTAGCACAGGATAGTCGTTTTCACCTTGTCATTTCGTACAAATACTTCGTCCGAAGCAAAAATAAGGCTTGCTTCTTACTAGCACGTCCTCCGTTACGATTTCCAGAGGGGTTGGGCGTACCTCTGTCTGTACGGGCCCATTGAAGAAGATCTCTCAGCTTGTCTACCCACTTCGCACAATGAAGTTTCTGCCATTTGTCTTGTCTTTATAATGCAGAAGCCCGATACGTATTTCGGCAGGGTCAATGTGAGTCTAAGTGTCGATATTTAATGGATGACACTCCGGTTCATCACTATCATTGTCCTGATCAACAGTTTTTCGAAAGTTTTAGATGATGCGAATTCACACTATACCTATCAACCCTAATCTTATGTGAACGCCATATGGAACTCTGTTGACTTTCACTGCATTGCCTAGTACTGAACCGTGAGGTGTACATCCAGTATGTTTATATACGTTGAGATTGAAACTGCCATAGTTAAATGACATTATTTGCAAACTGTCTTGTTTATGTGAGATTAGTGCACTTCCGCACCATCAGACCTCGCCAAGTAACCACACATAACCAATCAAGCGCATGGCCTCGGTTTCGTTGATACCAAGAGGGTAGTTGCTGTGTTCGATAAATAACTGTCTCTTATGGAGAGGGTTTCTGGTCTCAGAATATCATTTGCCAGTCTGGGTGGAACCAAACGATGGCAACCCAGGATTTTATGTAGCTTAGTTGTTATCTAGCTTAGTTGTTCTAAGCTTTTGCATTTCTTCAGCTGGCTCGGCCGACCTTTTCCTATCTGCATCATATCTTACTGGAAACTGGAAGCATCAGTACAGCAGTCATCTCTTCGTATTTCCATTGTCACGCTGGCACTTTGCTGTCCTATCTCTTTTCAACAGACCCCTAATAGTGACCTCCACAATTGGATCATCACTAGTAACAAACACCTAATTTTTTTATGCTGACGGGCAATCTGCCGTAGTAACTCAGCAATTTTTGAAAGTGAACACTTTCAGCAACAGGAAAACAGCTGGCTCTTGGAGGTGTAGGCCTTTTGTGGTACCAATGAACGGTTTTCTGATAGTGCTATGGGACTGGGACCTCACCATCCTGGTTACTCACTCCTGACAGGTGCGCTTTCTTCGCGCCTCACGGTTGTTGCACTACAACAAAGCGTGCTTCTAGAACCTCTTGAGCCTGCCGTTAAATATTATACACATGCTGTTTTACCTCCGTTCTTTCAGTCGAACCAGCCTATCCTCCTTACCCCAGTTCACTTCAAGGAACACAAGGCACTTGGGACACACGACAAAGACGAGTTGCACTGAACCAACCCTTGCCTTCGCCGGTCCCACTGAGCAGTACACATCGTTCAAGTAATCCAAGTGTGGTGACTGCTAGTCATCCAACATTGACGCACCCTAGACTAGACGATGGATATCGTGACCCACCAGCGTCAGGAGTAAGTTTCTCAATGGTCTTCTATTATCAATGCTATTAGAACCGACGACTTACTTTTTATTGCTTTTGGCTTGATTGGTCGCGATTTAACGGCAAAATTGTACTATAGTTGGCTTATTGCATTCATGGGCTTAGTACTGAGCTTACCTACCTCTGTGTTATCAGTTCAAGACAACCACTGTTGATGTCATCTGTGAACATTCTGTGGTGCTGTATCAGAACTGTAGGTAGCGCAGTCAATCAGATCGGCGAATGGCTTTGCCGATGGTGACCGATCATTTCCTTTCACCTTAATCGAACCTTGCTGGGCGAATTTCCAGGGTCGATTGTGGGACCTTCCGACCCTATGGAGTAAATTATATGGGATTCAGGTGTATAGAACCAGAAGAACAGGTCTGACTTCCCAAAAGTTGACAGTATTTAGCTTGGTCTAAACTTTTATTTTGACGCTAGAAAGACGAAGTCGTCCGCGAGCATAGACCGAAGACTTTCGGCTGTTGCATTTTTAGTTACATCTCTCTGGAAATGGAGTCAGTTTTTAAGATTGCACCATTTTCCATTTATCCTGTTCCCGCAGAACGAATATTTGCTCTCTGCTTCGGAAGCTGAGAAAGACGGTTATTACCCTGTAAGTTGTCCGTCGTTATCTCGTTTTCATATGCCTTATGCTTTTTCGCAATTTTTCTGTACCCTTCATTCTTGAGGTGTTGCTGAAATCCATTCGGTTGGGCTAGTTAGAAGCCAAGGAGAAGAACTCTATTGGGTTCAAATTATCAACCTTGAACTAAAACTGTCACATCTCAGTTTTTGCAAACATACCAAAATTGAAAGGACAGGAAAGGCTTAAACCAGTATGTTCGTTCACTTATGTCTCGCTTCTGCTCTATGCTTGATTGCGTTCTAAGCAGCATCCAGCCTTCGCCACCAGCTTCGCCATCCTGATTTCTTGTTTTCCTTATTCTGCGGTCGGGGTGAGATGGCACAAGTGGTTAGCACGAATTTAGCGACCGGAAGGTCCGTGGTTCGAATCCGACCTCTGCCTCCCGACTTCCCCTGTCTAGGCAGTATCCCAGCCCTCGTGCTTCCTCCGGGTAGCACCCGGAAAGGTGTTACTGCTGTGAGATTTTTACTTATTCTGCGGTGGTTGACAAGGTTTTTCGTCGCTATTTCTTGGAACAGTCCTCCCTTATTTATTCATTTTCATTCGCGTTTTTTTTGACAATGGACGGAAACTCTTTGCACACCTACCGATGGTGCGTGGGAAGGTAACTTAGACCACTGACCGTATCCATACCGCCGCATCACTTAGCACTGTGAAATCCTGCTGCAACAGGATTTTTTGGACCGAGCCGAATGTTCGTCAGGCGTCCGGCAAGTCAGCGGACGTTTGACCCGAATTTTGGTTGATCTCAACAAGCCAACGAAATTGGTGGTAAGGCCTTTTTCCAAAACAAATGGCCTAAACAAACCATCTGAAAAAGTACTGTCTGAGGAACACTTGGTAATGTGGAATGATGGGTCCATTTGAATGGATGCATGCCACTGACTGTCTGTTGATTCATGCACTTGACACTGACTGCCACTGTCGCTGTTCCATAGGTTGGAATTGCTAACACATGTGGCATCTTTGTTGTTGCTTGTTTCCTCCGCGACGCTGTTCAACCCATCCGCCTCGATGCGGATATGCAATTTCCTGTATAGCCGCGTTATCAGTACGATTCGAACACACCGGAAGTACCGCAGTTGGTCTTACTATTCCTGTGGGCTTCATCCTCACCCGAAGTGCCGTGTGCTTCGAAAACTGGCCAATCAACAGTTGGTTTATTCCTCTGTCTGCGGCCGAGAGAAAAGAATCTCTCTGCAATATATTCTCTGGAGCCCAGGATTCTGTCCATTCTAAGGATATTTTGCTGCACATTCAGTTTTGCGGTGATTGCAGTAAACATCCGCTGCTTACTTTGAGTTAGACTATGCAGACCTATCGTCACATGCAACGCCCCTTTGGAACGCGACTTGCTGACTTCAACTGACTGCTGTCATCCATTCCTAAATCCTGTGCACTTTTGTCGGTATTGTGTTCACACGAAAATTGAGACTCTATACTCCGTAGCTATCAGTAACTGTTGGCTTAGGCCGAAACCTACATGAAGACTTCCGAAGCAGGCGTCAATTATTGTACCACCAATTCTTCCGTGTACTGATTACATACACCGGAGAAACAGCGCATAAGATTGGGAGTCGCATACATTCAGTGGACCCGATTAGACAACGAAAGCCTCTCACCGAGTATACGGTTCATACGCGTTCGACAACAGCCTGTATTTTCGACGCGTTCGGAAAGAATATCTGTGTGTGTGTGTGTGTAATCACGCCTCTTGAACGCAAGACATGGCCTCCACGTGCCTGGTGCAGACTACCGAACTTGACCAACAGAGCAACAGACACCTGATCTACAATCAGTTGACTCACACTACCAATAGTTCGCTGTATTGCCAGTTCTAGGTTCTGTGTTTTGGCGATTATCAAAGGCTGAAATTGTAATATTTTATCTGCGTGGGATCCAGCGTTAAAAAAGACCACTTTGTGTGGCATCTGAAACGTGTTTTTAGGGTTACTTCCAAAAGAGACAAACTTGCAAACTGGTCGCTACCGGTCGCTCCTTTTCTCCTGTGGAAGAAGCAGAACAGAAATGGATCATTTGCTTGATTGTTTTTTTCAGGTGATCACTAAAGTGGAGCAAAGTTGCTACCACTCCGAAGGGTGCCTTCAGGAGGTCTGCGCTACTGGGTCCCTTCTAGGGTAACCCTTACCGTTCGGCTACGATAATCCTTATGAGGGAAGAAAACTGTGGGTAGTTTTGTGCCGTAATAATGTAAATCATGCCGAGACCTCCTTAAACGGAGTGGGCAATCCGGTATTTGTGTCATTGTTCAGACACTTCATTGGTTCAAAAGTACATAAAATCTTGCTACATGAATTTCGCACCCTGTTCGTTATTGGGATAATGTTTTTTACCATGTGGACAGTGAGGATGGTCTTTGTTGGAAGGTAGAAAATCGACCTCTTGTAGGGGGTTAATTTCAAAACAAATCTCATGGGACTGGAGCTTAGTGTTCATAATTAGAATGAATGCTAGCTATTTCCTATCCTGGGTACTTATAACCCCAGCTATTTTTCTTTGCGAAAATACTGATTTGTGTGTTCACACTGAAATACTCAATATATACGTTAATAAAGTATTACGCAGGACATTTCTTATCCATCCGCCTACTGTACGTTAGTCAGTCGTACTCTTAAGTGCGTGCATGTGTGTGTAAACAAACCGAATTTGTCTGATTCCGTTAAGTTCCGACGGGCTCGTGCTGTTTTTCAGGCACATTCATTCGTTAAAGATCGTTTTTGTAATAGTCACAGCGATGTTGCATGTGATTGGTGTTCGCTTGTTCGACCGGGACATGCCTTGATAGGGCCCTTGCAGTTGCACAAAGTCCGGTGTGGTGGAAACCAGACAACAGTAGCTAACCGGATTCGTGACAATTTGGTAGTAATCTACTCGCTGCTTCTACTAGTGAACTGCGTCCACATGATTCCCGTATCGGATTATTCTTACACATGCTAATATGTAGTTATGCCCTCATTTGACAGGATTCCATGCTCCCTCAATAGCTTCCCCAATGTTATCCCACGTTGGCAGGTTGAATGAGCGGCAAACCCACCTCGTGCTAATTTCTGGACGATTTCCGACATGTACTGTAGCGTCTGAGTCCAGTCCAGTTCAGTTCACCAGCAAAAAACCAAGGGCACGTTGGTTCCACCTGCTATAGTTTCGGTCACCGAAAAGCGGAAGACAGCAAAGGTATAGCCCAGCATTGGAGGCGATGGCGTAATCAGTTAATTGGTGTTGAGTCAGTTTAGTTGGTTGGGGAACCATTAAACTGAATATCAAGGTCACCCTAAAATAGAACTACGTCGCCAGTGGTATGGAGAATATTTGAAGTGTGAATTTATTCCCTTTCCGCATGCAGTGTGTGGAATGCTGTTTTAGGAAGAGGTACTGAAACTCTCGAGAGGACGGTCGTTCCTCCGGAGGAACAAATTCGATCAATATTATTTTTGAAGATGTTTCAACAACCTTTACCCTGTTGTGATAGCGTCGTTTATCGGGACTGAAAAATTTGAGGACTACCGGCCTTTCAAAAAATCCGAGAAATCGCCTTCTACTGTAACGAATGAGTTGCGTAACTGATCTTCGCTTTTATCTACGTTTCTCGCGTTAGGTTGATCTCTTTCTTCCTATGAGTGTCAGCAACTTTCCCAATCTTAGTAGACTGCTATACTGGACCTGATCGCGGATGACGGGAGTGCTCCTGTGCCCTCTTCAGAGCGGTAACCTCTCTTTGAAGTGGTGTTTTTTTGTTGTGTTTTTCACATAGCTTGAAGCTGCGTTTGGGAGACGTTGAAAATGCAAGCCCGCAAATTTTGAGGTGCCTCTAGCATTAACGGAAAAAACCAGGCCATCCACCACTTCCGATTGGTTTGCTTAACAACTCCCATTGTACGTTTCGCAATTTGCTGCATCGGACACAAGTCGTAGGAACGGAAAGTAGAATTGTCTGGCTCATCGGACACTAGGTAACCGGCAGAGCGTAATATGTGGCTGTTGGACATCTTATTTCACCACAGCTTAACAGAAATCGGTTGCCATTCCAGTCAGTGATTCGTGAAACAGATGGTTCCTGTTTTGGAATTGTGGAGCCAACACAGCCAATTCCGTCCGGTTCGTATCCGAGGATTTGTAATTTTTTACGTCAACCTGATGCTGAGATTCGCTGGACTTGGACGATGCAGGCCCCTTTGTTTAAGGTGTAGGTTTAAGATATAGGTTTTCTGAAGCCAACGCGGGGCATCAGACCCCATTATGCTCGGTGAAGAAACCTGTTGACACCTGTTGGAGCATCGTTTCACAGCTTTGATCAGCTTTTGCCTTTGATTCATCTAGAAATTCGTATGGAGTCAGCAGAATCCCTGTTAGTAACACCATTTCAGATTAATACGGATGAATCAGGTTGCCAAGCGAAACGCAACGTCAACAAAAGAAGTGTCACCCAAGCGCACACATGTTGATGTATTCAAGCATGATAATCCAGACCCGTTCACCATTGTATGTGGAATGTTGGCGAACCACGCTTACTTCAGTCGCTAGAGTGCCTGCATTTATATCTGACTATGCGCACTACTATGGAACTCCAATGAGGTCCATATTGCTCCAGAATTTCAGGTCACTGTTCTGAATGTAAACAAGGTACTTACTGAAAACAGAAGTAGGAGGCAGCCTAACCACTTGCATAACAACCTGACTATAATCTTACAGATGTAGACAGTTCCTGTGTGTTTAAACCTATACTCGAGTGGTTTCTACAAATCCAGTGATACCACACCGTTTGTCAGTGAACTACCCGTGTTGTATATATAGTAAGTTATCTTTTCAGACGAACTAAGTCGCTTTCAGCTAAGTTTGAAAGTGAGTATGTTGTGACGGTGCTTTCTAGTCTATTTCTGCGAAGTAGTGGATTAAAGCCAACCACACATTTTGGATTAACTCCTTGATGTTCCGCCTAGTAATCCTGC